GAATTTGCTGCTATGAAGAAAAATATAGTTCTCTTTGTATTTGTAAAAAAATTAAATATTCGTTACTTTTGGGAGATATTAGCAGACTAGCAGACAAGATAAAAAATTGAAAAAACCATAAATTAGGGCTTAAATCAATAAAAAAAAGGTCTTTACTTTTAAATTTAATACTTTTGAATTCCTTTTTAAACCTTTTGAGTAATTACCAAACTGACTTTTGAGAATTTGGGTATTATATGAAGGACTAATTAAACAAATTTTATTTTAATTTGAAAAAATCTCTGGGGCTTACTCCTTACTAAAAAAACGCGCCCCGAACGTCCGGGCATACGCCCCGAACGCCCGGGCGTACGCCCCAAATTGCGGGGCGTACGCCTCTTGAGAATTTCGCCCCACACCATCGCCCCGGAGCATTTTTGGTACGCCTCTCCCCGGGGTTCGCCCCAGAAACGCCTTTTAAAACAGAGATCCTATATGGACCACTCTTTTAAACTCAAAATCATTAAGATGACATAGTATGCTAGAATTGAGCTGACACTAGGCTTTGGCACTCCTGATAATCTAGAAAAACTATCCAATTAATAGATTAATTTCCTTAGTTTCATTTTCAAGAGAAAAAAGATCCTCAAAATTGTCTGAATTTGCACCATCCGAAATGGCAAACTGTTGATTTTCTTTCCTTGTATGAAAAGTGAAAAGTTCTCAAAACGACATTAATTCATGTTTTCTTTTTTGAAACCTTTCCTTAAATACCTAGGGGCCAAATTGTTATACTAGATAATCTATACTAATTTAAAAGTGGAAAACTCTAAATTAGAAAGTTGAAAGACTAAAATACCCTTTTAGTAATATACTTTTATATTTAATAAAAATAATAATTAAATAAAACACTAAATAATATTGGTAAAAGGTGCCATCCTTTTCTAAAGGATGCATCTTTCATAGAAAGGTGCGTTAGTTATTTTTCCACTCCTTATAAATATTAGATCATTGTGTAATTTTCAGGACTTGAAACAATTCCAACGTCAAAAGAGTTTACGGCACTTGAGAGAAATTTCAACACTAGAAAATTTTAGCACTTGGAAAATTCCAGCAAAATGAACAAGTTGGGAACAACCATTTCTGTTCCAACCACTCTATAACACTTATGATGAACCGTTGTTAGTTAAAGCATTGAGGAGAATGGCCTTGTGTAGTTGTAATCGGAGACAAACGAATATAGCATTACATGTGATTGCTATCGGTCTTTCTATAAGTATTCAAGAAGCAAGAAGTCAGGAACTACCATCTTCAGTGTTTGCAGAATATGGACTTGAAAAACTTGCCCTCGCTAAAGCTCGGCTGAAAAAAATTAACACTGAAATTTGTCCATTTTTTTTTCGGTCGAAGAGACTCACTCAAAGCAAGATGTGTTTCGAACCAATATATAGTTATTTAAGCAGAAGAATTACCATTTAATTGCAAATTATTTTATAAACGTATTAATTTATTTTGCAAGGTAAATATTACTTATTCAATAAACTTTTATTAAGTAACCTAGATTATTCTGTTGGTGTAAAGTTGTGTGGTTAAATTTTTATTTTAACCTTCCAATACTATTTAAAACAATACATGCAATTCAATTTTTTTCCCTCATAAATTTACCAAGATATGTCTGGGTGGTGTTGTATTCCAAAAAGGTGCAATGAAAGGGCTTGAACCTTATCTCAGATATAATACAACATATAACCCCAAAAAAATATATAATACAACATTGTGATTCCATCACCCAAAACAACAGAAGGAGGTATAAAATGTTATATGTCCTCCTTCCTGATAAGCATATATATATACAACTTCAACTAACAAAAAAATATGCAGCCTTATCAATAAATGTGTGATGTTTTAATCCATGAGTGATAGATATTACTTTCAATATATTGATCATAAGATAATTATATATTTTTAATTTTTAAAATAGATATATTAAAAAAAATAATTTACAATATATTTTTAATTTTTTTTTTATATTTGTTAATGCAACTATAACCGGTGAAATTTTAGATTTACCGCCCGTGTTGTCATAATTGTGATATTCCTCATATTAAAAATACAGCTCTATCTTCTTAGAGCTATGAATTAAGGCTTGTAATATTAAACCTAGCATTTTCAGGTTTACTAAAAGAAGTAAATACTATATGTAGAAGGGTGTATTGGTAAAAATAAATATTACACGTAGAATTAAATATGTGGCTGATATGGCAAGGCACGTGGATCACTAAAAAATGATAGCTGGAGAGATACATTAAAAGAGACACGAGTCATAACAGATACGAGCAAATCACCCACGAGATGAAAGGATATGTTCGCTCGAGTCTAAGTCGTTAAATGAAGAGGCACCGGCGGAATGAATCAAGACAGTAAAGAGGGAAGATTCATGAATCGTCAATTAATGAGCGTGAATGATCACAAACGTTACGAAATTTTCATGAACAGTTACGATTACCAATTATAACATCTCATTAATATCATTAATGTTCATAACGATTCGGTCATAAAAGGAAAAAGACGTTGTACTTATAGACTCCTATATAAGGGAAGGAGATATCACTTGTACAAAAATACTCTGATTATTATTGGAATATAATTACTTTCTTGTGCTTTCTATTGATTATTTTGTCATTTCTTATTCTAATTTCCTTTCTTATTTCTGAGAGAATATTGAATTTCTTGATTATCAGTAACCCGAGTACTTCTAAAAATAGGCTTTGACTCAGAATCTAATTCTTTGGTTAAACAAATTGTTCTGTTACCGGGAATCTGATAATCTTCTCTTACTTTCCAAATCACTCTCTCTCAACTAAATCATATCGAATGTCAATGACAACAACCAACAGGTGGAAGAAACTCCAGTTCCGTCACCTCAAGGAACCCCACGCAATTCAAGAGAAGTATCACCAAAAAGATCCACTACTCGTAATAATGGACAACATGGAAATGAACAAACTGTCGAGCAGGATGCTGTGAAGCAGTTAATTGCTCAGTACGTGAATGATGCTCTCCAGGCTTTCGTGAGGGGACTACCAGCTGTGCCACCCACACCTCCACAAAATAATACTACAACTGTAGAAATTCTACGATCAGGGTTGGCTAATTCTGGAAGCGGAGGAACTCCCAACGAGTCACGTGATGGGAGACCAGGTACGCCTAATAATTCTGATTTACAAACTTTAATACTAACCTTGCAGAAACAGGTAAAAGAACAAAACGACCGTATTGAGCAAATACCCGGCGTACCACATGTGATCAAAGGAGTTGATTTCGATAAATATTCACAACCACCATGGAAACCAAGCGCAACTCCATTACCAATTCCCAAAAAGTTCAAAATGCCTGACATCCCGAAATACGATAGAACAACCGATCCATGTGACCACATTACTGCATTCACCACGGGAGTAAAAGGCAATGATTTAACCAAGCAGGAGATTGAATTTGTGCTGGTCAAAACGTTTGGGGAAACACTTACTAAAGAAGTGTTAACATGATACTCTTTTTTACCTGAAAATTCTATTGACTCTTTTGTTGAGCTTGCGGATCTATTTATAAAAGCACACTCGGGTGCACAAAAAGTTGAAAAGAGAATGGAGGATATATTCAAAGTAAAGCTAGGAGATACAGAATTGCTTCGAGAATTCGTAGACAGATTCCAACGTGAAAGAATATTGCTACCAAGAGTACCTGACAATTGGACAGCCTGGCATTTGCAAGCAATTTAAACGAGAAAAGTTCAGAAGCTACGAGGAGGCTTAAAGAGAGCCTACGAGAATTCTCTGTCATGACATGGAATGATGTCTATAAGGTACAGTACCAAATTACGGATCGAAGAAGATATCGTAGCTCAGTCAAAGGTTGAAGAAAAAATAGGTTCGAGGCGGTCAGAATCTGAGAAGAGGTCCGGTAAGAATAGGTACAAGCCTTATATAGGACCTTCGGGTTGAGAAGCTCGTTCCAAATTCGGAAACGTCCGGGCTGATCACAGGTTCGCAAATAGAGATTCAGGTTCGTCATCGCTGAGATTCAGAAAAGATCGAGGTGAACGTAACAGAGATGCTAATACAAACACAAGGATTGGGGACTACAATTTTAACGTGAGTACCTCCGAGTTGGTCACTTTTTTAAGAAGCATGGGGGATAAGGAACGATGGCCTAAAGAGATGAGATCAAATCCAAATAAAAGAAACCCAGACTTTTGGTGCGAGTTCCATAATGACCACGGCTATAGAACATCAGACTGCAGATTATTACAAGATGAGGTGGAACGTTTATTGAAGCAGGGCTATCTGACGGAATTGTTCAGCGAGAAAGGCAAACAAGCTTACATGAAAAATAGTCAAGAGCCTCCAAAACCTCCGTCTCCAAAGAGAACAGTAAATATGATAAACGACGGAGAAGAAGTCAACAGCGTAATCTATACAGCTGCGAGGAAAACAACAAAGTTCACAATAACCCATGGGAAGCGAACTCGCCAAACTCTGGAAGAAGGCAACATAACCTTTGATGATGCAGATGTCGATGGATTAATGATTCCTCATAACGATGCGGTGGTAATATCTTTACTTATACATGATACTAATGTAAAACGAGTTTTGATTGACCCAGGTAGCTTTGTGAATATCATTCTATTACGAGTGGTGAACGCAATGTTGATGGGCGATAGTGTAGTTCCAAAAGCACGTTCCTTATCTGGGTTTGATAACTAAACCATTATTACAAAGGGCGAGATTGAACTAAGCACATACGCAGAAGGGGTCATCAAAGAAACAAAACTTCAAGTGATAGACACGGATATGGCCTATAATGTGATTCTTGGGAGGCCATGGATTCATGATATGGATATTGTGCCATCCACATTACATCAGGTTATCAAATTCCCTTCAAAATGGGGAGTTTAACAGATTCGAGAAGATCAACAAACTTCAAGGAGCATCAATTCGGTGATACAACCAAGTCAAAAAGATATGAGTGCAAGTCAAAAAGATGCGGGTGCAAGTGAGAAAGATGCGGTAAACCAAATTTCAACAGAAATTATATCAAAACAAACAGACGTGGACTCCAGACCAGATGTAATTCAAGAGCCAGAGGAGAACGAAAATATTAAAATAACGATTAAGGAGCTTGAAGTTGTTCCACTATTCGAACAATGGCCAGAACGAAAAATTCATATTGGAGCAAGGTTAAACCCAGATAGGAGAGATAAGTTAATTGAATATTTAAAAGCTAACACGAATTATTTTTCATGGTCCCATTCAGATATGACAGGTATACCTCCGGAGGTGATGACTCATAAATTAAATGAAGATCCATCATTCATACCTGTCAAACAAAAGAAGAGGAAGCAAGGATAATTCAAATTCAAGTGATCGATGAAGAGGTACAGAAACTCTTAAAGATCGATTCAATACGCGAGGTAAAATATCCTAATTGGTTAGCTAATACTGTGGTAGTTCCGAAAAAGAACGGTAAATGGAGAGTTTGTGTGGATTACACTGACTTAAATAAAGCATGCCCGGAAGATTCATTATCTTTACCGCATATAGATCAATTGATTGATGCTACCGCAGGCCACGAATTATTAAGCTTTCTAGATGCGTATTTTGGTTATAATCAAATAAAAATGGACCCCTTAGAAGAAGAAAAAACTTCATTTATTACAAACAGGGGGACTTATTTTTACAAAATCATGCCTTTTGGCTTGAAAAATATTGGAGCTACATATCAGAGGTTGTGACCAAGATGTTCCAAGAACACCTGGGGGAAGATGATGGAAGTGTACATTGATGATATGTTGGTTAAATCTACACAAGCGGAAGATCATTTTCAACATCTTTCAACGACCTTCGAGATCCTCCACAGATATAATATGAAACTGAACCTAGAAAAGTGCGCTTTTGGCATAGCTTCAGGTAAGTTTCTAGGCTTTCTCGTATCTAATAGAGGACTTGAAGTAAATCCTGCACAGATTAAAGCTATTAAAGAAATACCTGATATACTCACAAGCAAAAAAGAGGTACAAAGATTGACATGTAGGATTGCAGCTTTGGGAAGATTCATTTCAAGATCTTCAGAGAAAAACATTAAATTCTTTTCAGTATTGAAGAAGCAAAATCAGTTTGAATGGACTGAGGAATACCGACAAGCCCTCAGAGATTTGAAGGCATACTTAACAAATCCTCCCCTATTGTCTAAACCAAGGATGAAGAAAGACTATTTGTATATCTTGCAGTTACAGAAGTAGCTATAAGTGCAGTTTTAGTAAGGGAGGACAAAAGTAAATAATCTTTTATTTATTATGTTAGTAAATCTTTATTAGATGCTGAAACTAGATATCCTCATCTAGAGAAACTAGCTTTAGCATTAGTCATGGCAGCTAGGAAATTGAGACCATATTTTCAATGACATCCTATCTCCGTAATAACTGCATATCCATTAAGGAATATTTTGCATAAACAAGAATTGTCATGCAGACTAGCCAAGTGGGAAATAGTTAGTGAATATGACATTATTTATAAACCTAGAACAACAATAAAGTCTAAAGTTTTAGCAGATTTCGTCGCAGATTTTAATACAAAAATAATTCCTGAAGTAGAAAAGGAATTACAAATTTTTACTGGAGCTAATCCAAGTACGTGGACTTTATTTACTGATGGCTCTTCAAATGTCAAAGGATCCGGTTTAGGTATTGTCTTAATCCCACCCTCAGGTGAAAGTATAAGAGAAGCAGTTAAATGTTACCATATTACTAACAATGAAGCAGAGTATGAAGCTGTAATTGCAGGTTTGGAACTAGCACGAGAACTCTCCATAGAGCAAATCATGATTAAAAGTGACTCTCAACTGGTAGTAAATTGGATGCAGGGGACTTACACTGCTAGAGAGGCACGAATACAACAATACTTGAAAAAGGCACGAGAACTGGTCAGGCAATTCCAATCATGGAAGATCGTGCAAATACCCAGGGAAGAAAATGCAGAAGCAGACGCGTTGGCTAACCTTGCTTCAGTTACAGAAGTAACGAGTGAAGAAAATGCTATTGTAATACATTTATTTCATTCAGCACTTGACCAGGATAAATATGAGGTAAGTTTTAATAATTTAACATGGGATTGGAGAAACGAGATTATTAATTTTTTGCAGTACGGGATCGTACCTGAAGGCAATAAAGAATCCCAAGTGCTTCGACGAAAAGCTGCTCGATACTGCCTAATGCGAGATAATTTATATCGAAAAATATTTGGCAGTCCTTTAGCAAGGTGCCTTGGACACAATCAAACGGAGTACGTGATGAGGGAAGTACATGAAGGACATTGCGGAAATCACGCAGGTGAAAGATCTTTAGTTAAAACACTAATCAGGGCAGGATTCTACTGGCCTAAAATGGAAGAAGATGCGGAAAATTTTGTAGCCAAATGTAATAAGTGTCAATGATATGCCAACAATATGCATCGACTTGCAGAGTTATTTCCCCGTGGCCATTTATGAAATGGGGAATGGATATAGTAGGGACTTTACCACAAGCTAAAGGAAAGGTACGGTTCTTATTAATGTTAACATATTACTTTTCAAAATATGTAAAGGGAGGAGCTTTCAAACAGGTACGAGAAAAGGAGGTGAAAGACTTCATTTGGTGAAACATTATATGCCGATTTGGAGTTCCAAAAGAAATCATATGTGATAATTGCCCACAATTTATAGGCTCAAAAATTACGGAGTTCTTTCAAAGTTGGCAAATCAAATGAATAACCTCTTCACCTTACCATCCCGTGGCAAATGGACAAGCTGAGTCAACAAATAAGATTATCATCAATAATTTGAAGAAGAGACTAGAAAAATCAAAAGAGAATTGTCCTGAAGAATTCCAGGAGTGTTATGGGCTTATAGCTACACAACAAAAGCAGCCACGGGAGAAACTCTATTTTCGCTTGTGTACGGTTCGGAAGCTTTAATCCCAGTTGAAATAGGAGAACCAAGCATGAGATTCACATTGGCAACGGAAGAGTCTAACGATGAGGAATTAAGAATAAACTTGGACTTACTCAAACAAAGAAGAGAAGCAGCTTTAATACGGATAGCAGCACAAAAGCAAATCATAGAACGATACTATAACAGAAAGGCTCACCTCAGGTACTTCAAAATTGGGGACTTCGCTCTTAAAAAGGTTTTTCAATCAATAAAAATAACCGGAGTAGGAAAGTTAAGTCCAAATTGGGAAGGACCCTATAAAGTTCGAGGTATCGCTGGAAAAGGTGCCTACGAGTTAGAAACCATGGATGGCAAGGTTTTACCCTCGAGTTGGAATGTTGTTCATTTAAAGAAATACTATTTCTGAGCAAAAGAAATACCTATGGTCAGGTATCGTTTAAATACGATTTTTGTTTTGTACAGTTAAAATTATTCTAATAATTTTAGATGATAGGCAAAAAGCTAGCCCACCAAATGATGATATTAGACCCGAAAGACACGCGGAAGCAACATTATTCCATGTCTAGGGTTGCAGCCTTTTTGATGGAAATATAAAGGGTTAAGTAGTCATCATCTAAATTATATATACCTCCGAGTCCCGTATATTTTTCCTTTTCAGGAAATGGACCACATAGAAGGAATAATCAAGTACTCGAGATTTCATACTTCAAAGCTCTAACACTTGGGGGACTAATATATATATATATATATA